TTCAATGCGTACAAATAATTTAAATCCTCTTATACATTCATACACGAGAGTAACCCAAAAAAGTAAAACATTAATAGATAATATATTTATTAATTTCTTAGACGTTATTTTTAATACAGAAGTTCATTTTAATGCAATCTCTGATCATTCAAGTCAATCTTTTGAGTTTGTTTTTTCAAAACCTAATATAAAAAGTCATATATCTTCTAGAAAAAAAGTTTTAAGTTTTAAAAAAATAATAAACATGCAGGAAAAATTATCATCGGAATTATGGGAAAATGTGTTTGATGAAACTGATCCAAATAATGCTTATAATAATTTTTTAGAAAAAATTACCAATTTATCAAGAGATGCATATGCTTATGTAACAACTAATCGTAAAGAAAATAAATGGATAACTAAAGGAATTAAAATTTCCAGTTTAAATAAACGAATACTTTATCAAAAGTTGATAGACGGGGAAATAGATAAAAATTATTATAGGCACTATTCTAATATACTTAAAAAGGTTGTTTTGGCAGCTAAGAAACTTTTCAATAATAATTACATCCTTAATTCAAATAATAAAACTAAGGCGGCATGGTGTTTAATAAATAAACATTCCGGCAAACACAAAAACAAAGAAAATAATGTTGTAAAAAACCTTTGCAATGATACACTAACAACTGATAAATTAAACGAAATTAATTTATTTTTTAAAGAAGTATGCACTAATTCAATAAACGATCAATCCGATTCTAACATTAAATTTATTAGGTCGATAAACAAAAACTTATATTTATACCCAACATTTCCAAACGAAATTATCGAAACGATAAATTCTCTAAAAAATACTAATTCTACAGGAGAAGATGAAATACATTTAAAAATTTTAAAACAATATTCTGTTGAAATATCATATCCACTAACCCATATAATTAATTTAATTCTTGAAAAAGGGGTATTCCCCCTAAATTTAAAACATGCTGAAATTAAAGCAATTTATAAGAAAGGCAACAAAAATGATATGACAAATTACAGACCTGTTGCTCAACTAAGCAATATTAGCAAAATAGTTGAAAAAATAATTTACAACAGACTTTTTAGAAAATAACTTTGTCATAAGCGACTCCCAAAATGGCTTTCGCAAGAACAGGTCTACGATTCGGGCCATTTATCAAGCACTTTGCAATATAGTAGAATCACAAAACTTAAATAAAAATACCTTTTTGTTGTGCCTCGACCTTTCAAAGGCGTTTGATAGTGTCGATCATCAACTATTAATAAAGAAGCTTGAATTGTACGGCATTAGGGGGGTGTCTTTAAATTTGTTTAGGTCATATTTAGAAAATCGTACCCAGTCAGTAGTAGAAAGAAATGAACAAGGAATAAAAATACGATCTAAAAAAATTCTCATTGAAAAAGGGGTACCTCAAGGCTCCATACTAGGGCCCCTTCTATATATAATTTACACAAATGAACTTCCGCTTATTGTAAAGGAAAATATAATTCAGTACGCAGACGATACTTCTTTAATATTTAGCTTAGACGCATTTGAAAATGATTCATATATTCGCTCTTCAATAGAGGTGCTTGATAAATGGTTCAAATCTAACAATCTTCTTTTAAATACAAGCAAAACTCAAATAATAAAATTTCAAAGAAATTTAAATAAGACTAATAATTGAAATATATCTTTAAAGCTCTCAGAAAGTGTGTCATTTTTGGGTTTGGAAATAGACAACAGACTGGATTGGAGAAGTCATTTAGATAAAATGTCAAAAAATATGTCTAAGTATTGTTATTTATTAAAAATTATATCTCAAACAGTCAATATAACTTCATCATTAGCGGCCTTTAATGCCTACATTCAATCTAACATCAGGTATGGTATAATATTTTGGATTTATTCTCCAGATACAGAAAGAATATTTATCTTACAAAAAAAATGTATAAGAAGAATTTTTTCATTAAAAGAAACCGATTCTTGTAGACCCTATTTTATAAATCATAGGCTTTTAACAATTTATAGCCTTTTTATATATGAAGCAGTTTTGTTTGTAAAAAAGAACCTGGATCTGTTTGAAGCATTTAGGAATCTCCATTGTTATGAAACTAGATTTAAATCAAATTATTCAAATAATAAATTAAATTTCACTTATTTACAAAATAATGTTCCAAATTCTATACTTAAGGTATTTAACAAGCTGCCTGAAAAATTTAGGAATCTTTCGACTAAGAAAGTAAAAAATAAATTAAAAATTTTTTTAATGGAAAAATCCTTTTACTCAATGGAGGAATTCTTTAATGATGATCTTCCGCAACATTTATCGTAAAGTTTTTTATGCTATATATTATATTTTTAAATGTGTTTATGTATTTGTATATTTATTTTAAAGGTGTTCATATGATTATATATTTTTAAATGTGCTTATGTACTTATAATTGTGTATCTTATATTTATATTTTTAAATGTTTCCTAATTGGATCAGTATTTTTATCACATTTTTATATTTGACGTGTTTTACACCATTTGGTATTTTTTTTAAACGAATAAAGGTTATTATTATTATTATTATTATTATTAGATGATAGAATATTTCATTCTGTAACACTTTACGGAATAAATGTCATTTCATAGATAAAAGGGATATTTGAACGGGCAAATTCCATAATAGGAGTAGAAAATAATTTATTCTGTAACACTTTATATGTCATTGCATGTATACTCCAATTACGGAATATGACTGTTCTAATATTACTTTGGAATGACATACCTATAATCCTTAAACTGTTACAGAATGAAATATTCTATCATCGGGTGACGGAATAAACACTGGTGGCGACCAGAGCTATGCGGTACTCGAGTACAAGTACTCAAACACTGTACTCCAAGTACTTTCAGTGTACTCGGTACTCAGTCCCGAGTACTTCAAATTGAATGTACTTATACTTGTACTTGATACATTTAAGATTGCAAAAATGTACTCGAGTACTTTCCCGGGTACTCGAGTACTTTCCCGTGTACTCGAGTACATCCGTGTACTCGAGTACTTTTCCGTATACTCGAGTACTTTCCCGTGTACTCGAGTACTTTTACGTGCAATGAGTACATTTTTATGCAGTGAGGTTGGCGTGGACACATATCGTCACCTGAGAATTATAGTGTTCTATCTGCATTTTCTTTTTTTAATTCAGGTTAGTCTTGTTTTAAGTCTTAAAGATGCATATTGATCTATCTATATATAATTGGGGTAGAAATTGTACAGTTTAAGGCTTAAACTGTACAATTTCTACCCCAATTATATATATATAGATAGAATTATATATCTATAGATAGAACAATATGCATCTTTAATACTTAAAACAAGACTAACCTGAATTAAAATAAGAAAATGCAGATAGAACACTATAATTCTCAGGTGACGATATGTGCAAATATGTGCGTGGGTGTTGAAAATTTGGCAACACTGCTCAGACTTGTCAAATTACGGACATGCTGCCTGAGGCAGCATCAGCCAGCTTGACTCACACGACAACCTTAAAGCAGCCTCAATCAATAAATAAAAAGACACAGGAAAGAGCATTGAACAAAAGGTTTTTACTTATGTATGAAATGTAATTTTGTTTATATTTTGGAAGAAATAAGGTGACAATATTCCTCAAAAAGATAATTAAAAAATAAAGCTAAGGCAAAGTGAAACATGATACTAGCCGGCCTTGATAATTAACATAAAGCGAAATATCAATATTTGATGAAGGGAATAGGCCGGCTAGTGTTTAGTTTTGCACTAGTGATTCTAAATTCATTTCTTAATCGCCCCATTTCTCTAGCATTTTTCCCAACATTTCATAACTAAAGTGTACTCGGTACTTTGTACTCGTATGGGTACTCGAGTACAACGGTACTGTACTTGTACTTGAGTACTTTTATATAAGAGTACTTGTATTCAGTACTCGAGTACTTTTTCATTGTACTCGGAACAGCTCTGGTGGCGACATCTCTGTGTTTAGTATCCAACAAATTTTAGACCGATCCAATCTCACTTTTTCCCAATTAAATTATTTTTCTATTGTATTTTTAGGAAACGTAGAAAAAGTATAGTCTGAAACACGTTTGGAATTGCATATTCCTCTCTCGTAAAACTAGCCTTTGGCTCGTGTGACAAACTTTTCACTCTAGCGGAATATGCCGTATTTCAAACTTGTTCCAGAAAATATTATTATTTCATATAAATTTCTGCGTTCCTTTTTGAAAGGACAAACCGAATAATATTATCCAAAGATCACAAAAAATATAAAAAACTTCTAATGCATATTTTTTCTTTATCTTTGGAAAAATATGTTGTTAAATATTTTTCCTTTACTCCTTATGTCAAAAGGTATTCAGTATTTTAATATATAACATTAATTACATAACACCCTGTATATATATATATATATATATATACTGGGAATGCTGTTAAGTCACTAAATGTAAAGTTCATTTTAAACAACTAATATTTTAAAATGTATACACATATAACATATGTCAAATTTCGAATAAAATAAACAAACTTGGGGGTTGAGTAGAGAATAAAATTGTGGTTGTGTTATAATTATTATAAGAATGTTTATAAATTTTAAAATGTCAAATATGAGTTGTGAAAAAAACGCACACCTTTGATAAAATATGTATGTATGTTTATTATAATTCTTTCAGTTATATGACAAATGTCAAAGTATTTAAAATTAAGGGCTTAAACAGGAGTACCAAGTACCAAATTAAAAATACCAAAGAATATTAACATACAATATACAAAAAAATTAAATATTACAAATTCCGATTGAAAAAAACTAACTTTGTATTGTATTATTATTATAAAATACCCCGTAGTTAATAAAATAAATTAGTTCTAAGATTAAATTTTGTTGGTACATATAAAGTATAACGTTAAATAGTTTTAGTAAGTTTGCTTCCATTTTTACATTGTACTTACCTTAATATAAGTTTTATAATAATTGAAAGGAAATCAGTTGTAGATAATACAATTGCATTTACTTTATTTACTTTAATAACGAACCATACAAAATCCTTTACAATAAATGCAAGAAAGTATCCTTAAAATCTAACTGAATAATTTTAATCTTTAGCTTTACTTGGAGATCTTGAAGGCGATCTTGATCTTTTAACGCTGGGGCTTCTAGACCTGGAAGGAGATTTATTGTCCCTTTGTTTGGACAGGGAGCGTGATCTAGATCTGGACCTGCTATCTTTTTCTTTGGAATGACTTCTTCTCCTTGAAGTTCTAGGCGACCTGCTCCTAGAGCGATCTCTTTTGCTTTTTGCCTTGACGTCTTCCGTCAAACGAATTTTTCTACCGTTCAGATCCGTGTTGTCCAGCTTCTCGATAGCATACTTCATGTCATCGTAGCTAGTGAACTCTACTATGCCTTCGTTTCTATGGATATTGTGAGCATCTGCGTAAGCTACTTCGCCAGCTTTGCCCATGTACTTCTTCAAATCATGCCAGGAAATTGTGGAAGATAAATTTTCGACTATCAGGCGGTAATCGGTTCTGGTTGGTGGTGCTTTTCTTGTATCCGCACGAGGCCTGGGTTTTCCTTTCGCTATTTCCACTGATACTCGTCTTCCAAGAAGTTTTCTGTCGTTCAATTCGTACACGGCATCATCCGCATCACGAGAATCGTCGAATTCAACGAACGCGTAACCATTTTTCAAGAATATTTCATGGATTCTACCGAACTTACGGAAAAAATTCTCCAGGTCACGCTCCCTGGTATCGTACGGTATATTGCCGACATAAACTCTGGTACTCATATTGGCTGTTTTGATTTTCTGTAATAATGGTAAAGATTAGAACATCGAAATGCAACTTATAGCTATAAGTAGGTATTTGTTTAAGCATACCTGTACGTTTGTTTTCCAAAATGCAGTTAATGAATTTTTTAATTTAGGTAAATAAATAGTTTAGACAAATGTTTATACCTTCTTTTATAATCCTATTTGTTTGGATTTGAGATTAAACATTATTGTTTTTTTAAGAATTTTAACAATATCGTTACAGATCACAGGACAAAATATTTAATATCGCTTTTTTTGACATTTAACATAATATTGACATTTATTGACTTAGTACTAAGTAAGTTAGTAAGTGGTCTTTTAAGCAATAAAAATTGATCAAATAGAAAATATAAATATTTTTACTACGACATGTCTCGAGATAGTATTTATTTAACAGGCCTCTTTATCTTTCTAAAGTTAAACTACACTGCCTAATGTAAAGGACTGCTCTTTATTTTCCTTCAAATGAAAAATTGCTTTAATGTTATGTGTTTTGTTATTGCCACAATGCAAATGCCAAGTTTTATTTTGCCTTCATTGTTTTAAGCCAAATAATGTAAATCGTGGTTCTTTAAAAACACTTAAATTCGTAAATATCAGGGTTTTTATATACAGGGAAATAAGTGTGTAACTTTATTTTGTGACAATATTCCATTCGATTTTTTATTTGTATTTGTTTTTGTTTTCTTGCTTCGTTTTCAAAAATCAAAATGTTGAATTTTTTCTATTTTATTTTATCCTTGTTGTTAAAATTTAAAATGTTCTGTTTGGTATATGAAGTTAATTTAAGAACTATGCTCCACACCAAAAAGTCCCACTTTGACATTTGAATAATAAATGCAGTAAAACAATTAAGGTTATGTTATGTATATTAGGGTGGTCGTTATGTCGGGTAAAAAAAAAATTAACCGGGCCGCCCTTTAAATTGACTCAAAATAGGAAAAAAAAAATGTGTGCCAAATTTCAGCCCTATAGGTCTATCCTAAATTACCCCTGTGAACCACTTGTTCACTAAAAATTTAATTTGTTAATTAAAAATGATAAAGTAATTTTTCATTTTATATTTAGTATAAATAATAATAATTATTGTTATTATTATAATTAAGGGAGAAATATTAATCAAATTATGCATACAATACTATACAGGGTGATCCATATTAAGGGCGCACCATTGCTAACTTCGTTATTGTTGATCATATGATTTCGGCGAAATTAGCAAACAATTATTATTTTTTCTGCTGATTGCGAAGGTAAAACTATAAAAATATTTAAACTATACACTTTAAAGATATTCAAAAAATCAAAATTTAGAATAAAAATGCTTACTTAATTTTGAACACTCTGTATTTGAAAAATGGTTTTAATATTGTTTCTTTTTTTGCACCTACGAAGGATTTGCGGTATTCAGAGATGAGCTGAAGAGCATACTGTTTTTGGTCTTCATCTTTCGTTATTAATTGATTAAACTCAGTGAATAATTGAACCCCCCTTTCCGCAACATCATTTACAACTTTGAGATTGTTTACGATTTTTAATGCATTTTGATAACTCTCACTTTCGCTCCAAAGGGCTGGATCAATATACAATAAGTCTTGACTGATTCCGAACCGAACAAAGAAATTTCGTGTTTGAGACGTTACAAAATCATCCATTTCTTTTTTACAGAAAATAACCATATCTTTGTATTTTAGTTCAATCCTTTTAGGAATCACATTTTCTATATCTTCAGATTGGTTTAATTCCGTTACCATGCATCGTTTCGTATTCAGTGATACTGATTCATCGAAAAATGCCATCGCAACTGATTCCGAATTAAGGTACCACAGATGGATCACCCTGTATAGTATTGTATGCATAATTTGATTAATATTTCTCCCGTTATTATAATAATAACAATAATTATTATTATTTATACTAAATATAAAATTAAAAATTACTTTATCATTTTTAATTCAATTTTTAGTGAACAAGTGGTTCACAGGGGTAATTTAGGATAGACCTATAGGGCTGAAATTTGGCACACATTTTTTTTTCCCTATTTTAAGTCAATTTAAGGGGCGGCCCGGTTAATTTTTTTTTTACCCTACATAACGACCACCCTAATGTATATATCTATTTATAATAATAATAATAAGTTCATTAGCCCAACAGAAAAATCCAATAATAGGATAATAATATATATAGAATAATAATAACAATATTAATACAAAGGTAATGCAAAATAAAAGAATTAATTTGATCTAAGGTAAGTTATACAACAATTAACAATTTCATTTAAGGTACAATTATTTATATCACATAGATTTGAAATAACATTAAAATAGTAGGCGAATACAATGCAACATTTGTGCGACAAAATTGGCTAAAAAATGTGCAGTCGAATCTGGCGTTTAAACGAGGGACAAAAAAATGCAAACTAGACAATAAAACATTTGAATCGATTAAATTATTTAATAATTTATATAAAAATACTTGACTGGCTATGAATCTTCTATCAGCCAATGAAATTAAGTTTAAACGAGTTAATAAAAGCGTATGGTCAAATCCTCTTGTTGGATATACACCATCACTCTTAAATGCCAAATATTTTATAAATCTCCGTTGCACTTTTTCTAATTGGGAGATGTATACATTGTAGTAAGGGTAAAAAATAAGGCTTCCATATTCGAGTTTTGAACGCACTAAAGAATAGTATAAAGTTTTAAGTGTTTCAATATTCCTTATATCCTGACAGTTACGCATAATAAAACGTAAGGACCGCATTGCTGAAGAACTTATAGCTTGCATATGTTCTGAAAATGAAAGTTGATAATCAAAAACTATGCCTGTCTTTAAAGAACTTAATTAAAACAAAGGTTTAGTAATAGCGTTGATTGAAAATTTTAATAAAAATAAATATATACGCTAAAGAAGCATCAGGCCATTTGGTGGCTCGATAACATTGCGGGAATTTAAGAATTGTCAACAATACATTTAAAGCATATGAACTGCAAGCACATAACTTTTAAATAAATAAGTAGCTTTTTTACAAAAGAGAGGAAGGCAGAAGTTTTACTAGAAAAATTTTGTTCGCAAAGTTTCAATTGCACAACTAAATGGCACATGTTATTTGTGTTTTTCGTTGCAAGTAAAAACTAAAAAAACTTTGGTTTAGTACTCGATTTCAATTTATTATTCCCTACATTATTGATTAAGAAACTCAACGCTTACATGCTTATCTAAGTGTTACATTTTCATGTTTTGCCAAAGGATCAAATTCGGTACGTATATTTGTTGGTTCAGAATTAACTAATGATAACTTTACCTAATATAATTTATATTTAAGTTTGTTGTACAAACATAACCTTAAAATCAAAAGTCCTCTAAAAAAACGCCGATAAGTGCATTTTAAAATAGTAAACAACAAAATGTATTTACGAATTCATGGCAACAATATTATATATAATACATAATAAAATACCCGTTTTTTGTATTTTACCTTTGAGTGGAGACTCAATCAACGCTTGTATATGTATATTTGTTTTATGACTGACTGAATTGTAGTGTTTACAATTTTTATTTAAACTTTACTAAATTGTGTAGTTACTGTATATAATAGGTACAATTTATAATTTATTTACAGGATTTATGGATTTCCACTCTTAATAGCGAAATCGGTAAAAACTTAACCTAGGATTTCCTCTCGAAAAATACCCAACAACACAGCAAATTGTTCCACTTTTTGTCATAATATTTTTAACGTTTTCCGGCTTTATTTTCAAAAACACTCGTTAGTAACATACGCGTTTGACAGCTGATTAATAAAAGTTGTAGTTTTGTTACTATGATATCGGCCACGTGGTGGCGCTACTAGCGATGCTTCTTTAGTGAGTTCTGTTAATATTAAATATGTAATATTTAATAATAATTATGTTTTTTGTTTTGGTATTTTTGTAATAAATTATATTATTTTGGTTGGTATTACATTTTTATATTTGAAACTAAAATTTTTAATGAGTAATTAGGCTTTTATATAAAAAAGCAAACCTCAAATAAAAAAAAGTTATTCTACAATAAGTACTTAAAATATCAAATTTACTATTATTTAACTAAACTACTAAAATCATTTGTCATTTTCTTTCCAACAAATGAATGTTTTTATCACGGTAGGTAGACTTTTCTCGAACATCTCTCATTAGGTAATTAATTTTTAATTCTATTTTTGGCGATAAATTGATAAGTAAAAGCATTGAACATGTCAATAGAAGCGAGAAATGACAAATGAACAATAGTGACAAAAAATTATTTTTATCAGCAATTTCTACGTCGAAAATTTTCAGAAAAATCAAAATTGGAAATTAACCATATACAATAAAAATTATGTGAAACATTCTGGGGGTTTAAAATCAAGCAAAAACTTTTATCAAAAATGAAATTTTCTGACAAATGTAAAATATTGTATTCCTCTTTGTAACCTCGGCCGTGGACATAAGGTGTATTGTATTATTTTCAGAAAATAGGACGAAATTAGCGTTAAACTGACAAATACATAACCTCAATATAAGTATGCCGATTTTTTAAGTTTTAAATTAATCAGAATTTGACAAGTGGCAATATTTAATGTTATAAAAAATAAGAGGCCTCTGGCGGCTAAACAATGCAACTTAGGATATAAGTAATACAAGAAATTTTTCACATAATAAAGCATGAAATTTTAATGTCACCAAAAAGTAATTTTTTCTGAATATGCCGAGAACGGTAGGTATATGTTTAATTATTTTTTCCTTGACTGTACAACTAAACCATTTAGGCATAAAATTGATATCAAACATATGAGTGCCTATAATGATTATGTCATAATCTAACATAACAGATATCTCTAGGGACACGAAGGGGCGAACGATAGCTGCTAAAATGGCAACGCGGCATAGTTGGGGACTGTTATTTTGCGACACCATCCGCAAGTATCCACGCATCCGTGAGATTCGATTAGCAAATCTCGCGTAATAATTGAA